TTCTACAACAATTTTACTGTACTTTTCTTACGTGTGTCACGAACGATTTTCAACAGAGGAGCGGCAATAAAAAAAGAACTCATACCGATACGTGGAGAAACGACAGAACGAACTCTCCAACCACTTGTGCTTACGGGGTTTAAGAAATTTCACTTGTTTCGTCTCGTTCTAGCTTGACGATTATACAGGTTGTCGCTTGAGCGCCGCAAAATCGTTTCTACATCCTGAGCAATTTCCCAAGTGGAAAGTGCTCGCTTTGTTACGGTATGTATACAGTCCGAATCTACTTGCAATCATGACTGCAGCTTTCGTTCCCTTTTTCTCTCAAAACTTCTCGGAATTTTACAATTCGCCAAATGCGGTAAATTTAGGCTTGTTTGGTGGTTTCCAGCGTTCAACGCAGATTACAGCATTTATTTAAAGAAGAAAGAAAATGTTTTCTTATTTTTTTCTTTAATATGCAGATATTCGAGATAGTAGTATAAAGATCGTTGTTCAATTCTGAATTGATCGAACGTTAAAGCAACAAAATTGTGTTCTATGCACATTATTCTGCAATAAATAGAGCATGCAGTTGCTGCAAGTTTTCTCTAGAATTTCTTAAGTGTAACAGAAAAATGTACAAGACACGTTATTGCATAACAATTGTCTTTAATAATTTTGAAACAGAAAGAGTATCGAACGTGTTGCAATTCGTGAAAGGAGCGCGTGACCATAGTGATCACAACAATTGACAGTGACTGAGAAATACCTTAGATTTAAGGTTTACTAGGAAAATTACTCGTTACTCTTCCAGACAGATTACAGTAAAAAGAAAATATTTGCTCATTTCATAATAAAAAAAAAAAAAAGAGAATGTTCCATTACGAAATTCTGTTTTAATTGAGTAAAGCGACGATTTGACTTACATCTGGAGAATGTTCCATTGGGCGCCGTAACATTTCCTTATAGCGAATCATCGCTGTAACACTTACTTATTGTTCATTCACAACAAATAGTAAATACTTTACTGTTAAAAAAGAAAGAAAATTTCATAATGAAATGAAACGTAGAGAAAATGGATATAAGAACGCGACAAACTAAGTGTCTCTCGAATAAAAATGTCAAAGAGGGTCATTTGAATCAGATAACCGAGTTGGACACCTGCCAGAGCAAGGTATCAACCGATCAACAAGAAAACGTTGACTTGAATTTTTCATTCTCGGTATCCACCAGCAAAAACGTGAAGTTTCGTTCTCAAATGGTACAACTTTCTCGTAAACCGAACGTACGATCAAAGCGTTCCAACGCGACGGTGGTTGTCCGTGTAGTGGGAAGATTGAAGTTTGTTTCAGCGAGTCTAGAATTGCGAAAACCAGAAGGTGGTCGGTAGCTTAGCCATTCCGGCTACCTTTCATTACGTTCACCGATATTCTAGAAAGTTGTCACTTGGACGAGTAAAGAGCCAGAGAGAGAGAGAGAGAGAGAGAGCCCCTCTTTTGCCGGCCACCAACAAACAGAAACGTTGGAAACGTCTAAGCTCGTCAGAACCTGATGCAACTAACGTTTCTTGCACGATAA